TTCTCTTTCTGCCTTTGGGCATTTCTTTCTATCTCTTTCCCTCTTTTGGTCTTTCTCCTTACGTAAATGTTCTTTCTTATTTGTCCTCCTTGTCCTCTATTCTTTTTCTTTTTTTCTCTTCCTTCTCCTCCTCTTTCCCCTCCTTTCCTCATCTTCCTCTCTTCCCCTCGTCTTCCTCCTCCTCCTCCTCTTTCTCCTCCACATCTCCTCCTCCTCTTTGCCTACCGATGGCACTGCATCAACACTCTTACAATATCCCAAACGCTGATTGGACTTGATGGCAATATTGTAGGCGAAGGCAGGAGGAAGGAAGGAAGGGAGGAGGTGGGAGAGGGAGGGTAAGTAGGGGAGGAGGAAGGGCGGGTAAGTAGGGGAGGAGGAAGGGAGGGTAACTAGGGGAGGAGGGAGGGTAAGTAGGGGAGGAGAAGGGAAGAAGGACATCCGGAAGGGAAGGTAAGTAAGGGAGGAGGAGGGGAGGGAGGAGAGAAGAAAACAAGGGAAGGGAGTGTAAGTTGGGTAAGAGGAGGGGAGGAAGGAAGGAGAGAATAAGGGCGGAGAAGGTGGGAGGGAGTAGAAGGAGGGGAGGAAGGAAGATGTTAATAAGTGAAGAAGGGAAGAGGAGGATAAGTTAAAGGGGGGAGAAGGAGAGGAACGGAGGAGGGGATAGGATGGATAGGGCAATATGAATTGGGAAAGGGCTGGAGGAAGGGGGAAAGGGAAGGAGGAGCGGAGTAAAGGGAGGAGGAGAGCAGAGAAGAAGGAAATTAAAGAGAATAAAGGGAAGAGGCTGGTCGCTGTGAGCGAATGCGGTTTCTTTGTTTATTTATATGTGCCGCACGCCTGAATTTAAGCGCACATTGGCTCATGCACACACGCACACACACGCAGACTCACATACAACCACACACGCACACAGACACACACACACACACACACACACACACACACACACACACACACACACACACACACACACACACACACACACACACACACACACAGATTTATGCCCGCTGGATGATATAGAGGTCGTTTGTCCTTGATAATTGGCATTAAATCACCAGGAGCTGTTTTTTGTATATATGGAATTTAGTTAGTGGCTTTATGTATGATATTTGTTGTTGAATCATTAGTACTATTTACAAATATCATCCTCATTGTTGCTATTTTTCTAATTTTCATTGGTATCATCATCGTTATTATTATCATTATCATAATCGTCATCGTTATCATTATCGACATCATCATCATCATCATCATCATCATCATCATCAACATCACCATTTTTGTAAATATATATTTGTCAATCTTTATATTTTAAAATTGAAACGTTGATTTTCATCCCGACCGCGAAATAGATCAATGAATAGATAGCTCAATCAGATAGATTGATAGATCAATCAAAAACATATAAGCGTTGGTAAATCTTGTTTTATCCCCTTTTGGAAACCAATAGGAATCTCGTAAAAAAGGCAATCTTATACGGTTAAAACCACCGCAAAAACAACAACTATAACAATAACGCAAAAAGTAAATCGCAAAATCTCTCGGATTTAGCCCTGAGGGGGGGGGGGGCGAGAGGTGTGGGGGAGGGGTATTTTAATATCGCTTATGTGTGTCGTAATGTATGCGAGGGAAGGATGGATAAGGTGGAGGATTTTGGTCATCGTCATCTTTGTCATCGTTATCATAATTGTTATCGGTTGTACTCGCGTAACTGCAAAGGGATACCCACATTCACACAAACTCGCACTCTCTCACAGTCAGAAAAACGAAAACAAAACCGAAAGAGGGAAGTGAAGGGATAGGAAGAAATCAAACGAAGTGCAGTGAGATTGGCAGATAGATAGTGAGAATTAAGAGACAGACAGACAGACATTGTAGCAATATTGTAATCGTACATGTAACGGATTCCATTTGCCCCAGACAGAGACAGGACGAAAACGGAAACAGTCAAAGAGACAGAAGACAGAGATACAAACGGGAACAGTTAGAGAGAGAGGGAGAGAGAGAGAGAAAGAAAAAAAGAGAAAGAGAGAGAGAGACAGAAAGACAGAGACAGAGTCAGAAAGCAGCACACAGCTTATAACTCATCAGACGACACATAAACACACATAGAAAACAACAAAACTCGCCAAAAAAAACGAAAAACAGCCCACTGGAAAACACGTAGCGGCAGCCTTTGACAATTGTTCACGGAATAATTGGCAAGCACGAACGAAAACACGGAATACACAATATCCGGCAGTCGCTAGCTCGGAAATGATTCATCAGCTGATACCATGTTTGTATTCATTTCTGGGTATAAATAATGGATTGGAGTGGAGGGGGAGGGGGTCGTTCCATGTGGGAGGGGTGGGGAAGGTGGGAGGGGGTTAGATGGGTGGTGGATTAGATGGAGAGGGGATTAGAAGGGAAGGGAGGGAGGAAATTGTTAGAGGTTGGTTAGAGGGGAAGGGGATGTTGGGGTACGTGGGTAAAGGGGATGGTGGGGAGGGAT